GATTTTCTTACAAAATTGAAGATATGGGACCATAAGTATATTTTGTAGCTAAATTAGTGTTTATTTATTTTAATTTAAAAAGATCCGCTAACGACGTAGCGGGCATATGCTAGTTATAATATATTCATATTCTTATTTTACGAAGGAAGATATATATCAACGTTTTTGGTCAATATAATAAACCACCTAATTTTAAGATTTTTTTCTTTTGTAAATATTTAAGTGTATCTCCCACATCCGAGAACATACGACAATGTATTTGGTACCAATTTAAAGGCCAACCACTCCTCTTGGATAAACTATCAAATTCTCGGGTCTATGTCCTCCAGGGGTAAATAGAATACAATTTTTTTAATTTTTCACACAAAAGTCAGGGTACATTTGATCCGCTCTTGACCGATCTTTATCAAAACCAGCATGCTTTGGCCCGATCCCCTTCTCCAAGTGAAAATTCGCGATGTTTGGGCTATAATTGCTGTCTCTGTGGCGACAAGAAAAACCGACAAAAATTAAGTATTTGGTCCATTTCATCCCCTAAACATTAACCGATCTTTACATTTACATTAGGGGTCTTCACTGGACAGAACCCATCCGACATCCAAATTTTGGAAAGATTGGTCCATAACTGTGGCCTGTATCGTGTTTACAAATTATAAGGGTCAGACGGACGGACACGCATGTCTAGATCGACTCAGCTTGTGGAGATATGACGATCGGTATACTTAAATGTGGGTCTAGATCAATATTTCGCGGCGGTAAAAACTCTTGGGGCTGCATAAAGCTATAATACCCTGAAAACATAGTTGTGCAGGGTATAATTAATATCAGTTAAAAATCATCAGTCTGGTTGGAATTCATATCCTCTAGGGTTATATTTTGTTTTAATAAGTGACTCAATGTTTGACTATTAAGGCTATATTTTCTAGCGGCGAACGTTGACGTCTCAAGGCCCCATATACCATCAGAAATAGCTTTTTTCTATCGCTTTTTCGACAGAATAAGCACGTTTGGTCTTATATATGTAATTTCGAGCAATATTAAAGGATTATTTTTAAAGACAAACTCAAAAACATTTTATGAACATATTATTGCACTATCTGCCGAATATTTTTCTGCCAATCATCTAAAAACATTACTTATTTTTATAAGAATGCACATTGTAATCATCTGTATGATTTTATTAGCTAGAGGTTTCAAACTTTGTGACAGTTATTTATTTTAATATTCGATACCTATGTATCGAAGCTAGTGATGTACAGTTAGAGCTTCATGTCGAAAACGCGATTGCCGCATGTGCCCCGATGCCGAAGGTGCCCCAGTCTCCCCTACCTGATTTAAAACTGGAAAAACCAACACCATATCTTTATTTTGAATAAGTTATGCGGCATTTATTATCTTTGCAATTTTAGTTGCTTTATTTTTGGCCACCATTGTAGATGGTTTGAGCGACTTACCAGGAGTATTTCTGTTATTGCCAACAACAACAAATATTAACATGAGCATTTCACATTTATATAATATCACTCATATGCAGAGTCCCAAATTTATCCCGACAAATCTGGCGTAAGATGCCATCTTTCTTATATTTCCAGCAGCAATCCTCATTTTTATCAGGTATTTTCCAGGACTTTTAAGAATATTCAGGAGTCGGGAACAACCATTTCGTATTGCTGGCCTATACTAAGGGTTTCTCGAAACACAATTTCTTGTTCGAAGTTCGCGTTTGTTCGATGTGTGTTTAGTGGTGATTTGGTATTGAATAGAACTTATTTTAATTCTTAGTTTGATTTTTTTATTCCTGTAATTTCAACCTCGGGTTTGCCGAAAAATATATTATTGTCTTAATATTTTCCGTTCCAGCTGTGGCACTTTGTGCGCCAGATGACTGATTATTTTACGACAACGATAAGCGTGCCTTCTATTTTCACATCTTTTTTTTTTGGAATCTGTTATACATTCTAGAATAAAAATTTGTATTTTTCTATTCTTGATATTTGGTTTGAAATTCTTAGTCGCTAGTCCGTCATTCTTTTCAATTGCAAGATCATAGTACGGAAGAATATGGGAAACAAAATAACGACTACAAATTCCTATTATTCAACTTTGAACACTTCACTTTGCCATATGAATTAATATCGACAGCAAGTGTGTCCAGTTAGACGGCCATCATGCATTTAGAATCTATTAGCGAACTTCTTTAACGTAATTGTATTTGCAAAATTGTATTTACAAAACCAACGGTGCAGTTCAATGAAGACAAAAATGCAATTATTGGTCGGAACGAATGGTGCCATAAGCATGTCGCTTAGAATATATCTACTCAAAATGGAATTTCTCAAAAAAAGAAAAACTTATAAATTCGAAATTGCCGTTCAGAAATTGTTGTCGTCAAAAGTCGTGGCGAAATTTGGTTTAGCAAAAATTAAAATAAAAAACTCTGATAACAAATAGCAGATTCAGAATTTTCAAAATCCTCCACCAAAAGATGAATCGTTATTAATTTGTAATTGCACTAAATTCGACCGGCCCAAACTTTTTATAACCTTCACCATGTGGTGTGTATTCATTTTTTTTTTTAATTTTAAGACCTTTTATGTTGATTCTATTTTATTATAATTTTGCTACTAGTAGGCTGTTTATACTCTGAGGAAATAAAGCACAAACTTATAGACACTATGTTTGGAAAATCAAGCAGGAGCATAGTTATTATCATATGTTAAAGTGCGTAACTGATTATCGCCCAAGCGAAACGGCTGAAGCCTGAAATTTTGATTGTGGGTTGTGGTTGGTGTGTACGCGTGAGATAAGGCAATTTGGAAATTCGAACTAGAAGGGTACGAAAAATACTAAAATGTACTAAATATGGTACCATTTGTTTTGAGTAAACGGGAAGTGCTAGTACTCTGAAATTTGGAATGTGGGTCACTGATGCAAAAGATGTACAAAAGGGTTTTTGGAAATTCGATCTAAAAGTATACGAAAAGTACTAAATTTAGTTCTAATTGTATATATATATATTTAGTTCTAATTGTATTTATGTGTACGAAAAGTACTAAACGGCACTAGATTTGGTACAATTTTGATTTGGGTGAATGGAGAGAGCTGGAAACCTAAAATTTGCAATAATGTTTGCTGTTAGTGTGTAGAATTTAGATATGGAAGTATAGTACTTATGTGAACTAAATTGTACTATATTTTGTACAATTTAATTAAGCTTGAATTAAAATTACTTTTGGAGTGTAACAGTGTAGGATTGAGGTTGTTTAGAAAATTCGTACTTATGGGAACAAAAAGTACTAAATGGTAATAAAATTAAATAATGACTTTTTCATATATATATATATATATATATATATATTATTGAGTTTTGTATTTATGTGTACGAAGAAGTATGTAAATGTTTTTATTAATTTGGTACAATTTTGATTTGGGTGAATGGAGAGAGCTGGAAACCTAAAATTTGCAATAATGTTTGTTGTTAGTGTGTAGAATTTAGATATGGAAGTATAGTACTTATGTGAACTAAATTGTACTATATTTTGTACAATTTAATTAAGCTTGAATTAAAATTACTTTTGGAGTGTAACAGTGTAAAAGGAATGTTCTGGTGTGATGCCAAATGTCCGAACCTTGACACGGTTGAATTTAATTCGTAGATGCAATTTCAACAATAGTACATAAATACAATAAAATTAAATAATGACTTTTTCACAAAAAAAAAAATAATGACTTTTCCTTAAAGTATGCTACAGAAAAGGTTACAACAAAAAATAATTACATACTTTTTTATTTTTGGTATTCAACTATTTTGAATTATACGGTATTTTGATGCATACTTTACAGGGGGTTCTATTTGAATATTTAGCATAGGATTTTTAGCAAATCGAGATATTGAGTGACTGATTTAATTGTGTATGTTAAATCGAGGCAAATTGATCTCAGTTTAGCAATTTAGTCGAGATAATGATCTTTATCACGGTAAAAGCTGTAATCTAAACGCGCCTCTAGTCTAAACAGCTCGTATTTTGTACCTCGATTAACAAATCGAGTCGATTTAGAAGGCATAGTCTAAATGGGCCTTTAGCATAGGATTTCGAACAAATCGAGATATTGTGTGGGTTTAAGGCGCGTTTAGACTTTTATCGTGATAATGTGTATTATCTCGATTTAATTGCTAAATCGAGCTGAATTTACCTCGATATACTATACAAAATTAAATCCACTTATTATCTCGATTTGCTCGAAATCTTGTACTAAATCGAGGTTTCTACCTAAAGTATGCGTTATAATTAGTCAATATTCAAAATAACTGCAAAAATGTGTCAGCTGCTGAAAAATAATTGTTTCGTTGCATTTATAATAAAGATTGCTATAATTAAAAAACAAATGAGTTTTTACATTTCTGAAATCTTAACAAAATTATGAAAATAATGATTAACCATATATGACAGGAGTGAAAACACAGCTGACAAATCCACTTCATTTCATTACTAGTCTAAACAGGTAGGATTTCGTACTTCGATTTATAAATCGAGCCGATTTAGGTTTAATTTAGTATTGTCAATTTAATTTGGTATTGTAAATTGAGCTCAATTTAGCAATTAAATCGAAATTGTGCAGTTAATCACAATAACAGCTGTAGTTTAAACGCGCCTATAGTGTTTATTTTCGACTGTTGAGAGTACAACTATGAAAAGCAGCACTTGTATCCAAAGTGGTCCATTGTGCAAGCCTTACCGATTTTTGATAATAATTCTGTATATTGTTGACATTTCTAATTATTTTACTATTAAAGATAAAAAAATAAAATATTTCATACTGATCTTTGATTTTGTTGTAATTTGCCAATAAAAATGAAAATAATACATGATCTTAATATTTAATATGAAGCTTTCAAAATGCAATAAATTAACCTTAAAATATACATAATGCAAAAATAATTTAAATGCCGATGGTCTTATATAAAATTTTCCATTTCCCATCAGTTGGTGAGCATTTTTCTAATCCTTTTTCACTGGTGATCGTTTTTCCGTCTTGTGCAGATAATTTTGAATATAAAATGAACCGAACATATAGGAGAAAATACAGGAGTACAAGGTTATGACAGCGGCAACACCTTTGGGATAGAGACAATTTTGTCGTATTTGAACTTGTATTGAGTGCACAAAAACAATTGAAAATTGTAGCTATTGAAAAGATGAAAAAAATTAAAATCAATAATTAAATACGAAGTCCGTCGGCATGAAGCGGTAAATACTTACAAGCTGCAAAACTGTAATGTATTTTTTCCACCACAGATATTTTTGTACTTTGGGACCCATGGCAGTCAGCATATAATAGATGTACATGACAATATGAACAAAGGAGTTGATGAAACAAACAATGGTACCATGGCCACCTGAAATGAAAAAAAAACATTTAGAATAATGTAATTGCTAATGAAGAAAATAATTTCGATTAATTCGAAATCTGATTAAGAAGGAAAGACTTGTGAATTGATAATCTTTCAAAATTTATCTACCTGCATAATTTTGCACAGCAAAATATAGACCCAGTGGCATACTGAAATGATGGAAGACATGCAAAAATGATATTTGTCTATCCTTTTTCCGTAAAACAAAGAAGACTGTATCCAACAGCTCGGTAATTTTGGCCATGTAGAATAGCCAAACTGCTCTGGCCATCTGAAATATATGAAATAAAATTTAATTTTAAAAATGTATTTTTTTAATTATCATCTTTTACTTACTCTCATCGAATGAGGATCGGTGTCATATTTCAGCGGAGCACATTTGTAATTGTATGTCGTTCCCCAGCCAGCTTGATAGAACTGTTGTAGCGAAAAATATAAAAAAATAATGTATTCATATATTCAATAGTAATAAAGTAAAGATTTTTGGACCCCAAATGTAGTATACAATCAACAAAATGTTTTTGAGCTTATATCTCGCAAGTAACTAGTTAATATATATCTTTTTGATTCTATATGTAAAATCTAATAATTGACAGCTCATGGTCTGGAATGGAAAATTACTTTAGGAACAAATTCGTAATAGGCCAAACTTTGGAGTTATACATGTTAACTAAATTTATTCGCGGGTAACAGACCGCAAACCTATATTTTTAACCGGATTTTCAGTATTCGCTTTAAGGATGAAACATATTAAAACTTAATAGGATCTGCGACAATATGCTTCCGTGAAACAGCAAACTCTTATAAGTTACTGATTTGTATAAATGGAAAATCTGAATAGCAATAAAAAATAATTTTTAATACAAATGAAATACTCAAATTTCGGCTGAAAATATTCGAATTGCTACTGATATGTTCGCATTTACATCTTAATGTGTTTGTTTACTATTCCAGTATTAACTTACAGAGCATTTTTCGAATTTTTCGTTTTAAAAAGAGAAAATTGCAAAAAGTAAACGATACAACAAAAATGGTTCTATCGGACAGCAAAAAGATTGTCACAATTAAAAAACAGCCTTTTTATTATTGTTTTCATTACTTATTTTTAAGCCGCGATCAGATTATAGCTTTTATCGCGTTAAAGTGCATTATCTCGATTTAATTTTATTATTTAATATTCAAAATATCTGCCCATGGCATAACTATACAAGGTCTCATGCAGTCATATGTTTCCAATTTGTTCATAAATTTGTTTTTGGCAACATTCAGCTTTCAAAATTTAAACGAAAATATCTTCCTTCGAAGGAAATCTTGTGTCCAGGGGCAAACATTTTTCAATCATTTATATTTACTAATATTTTTAAGTTCCCTGCCTATAAAACCTACAAATATAAAATGCAACATTCTTAGTCAAATCTTGAGAACAATCAGGAGCTTTAGGAAAAATGTTATTTTTAATTTCTTGAAATTTGCCAATTGCTATGCGTAACATTTTATGGAATTGTTTTTTAATTTTATTTGAAATGGACATATAAATTCCCATGGTGTAACTATACAAGGTAGTCTTATGCAGTCATATATTTCCAATTTTTTCATAAAGTTTCCTTTGACCTAATTCAGCTTTCAAAAATTTTAAATCTTGAGAGCATGGTTCAGATTTAAAAAATATATTTTGTTTAATTTATTGAAAGCATGCCAATCGACACACATAAAATTTTATGAAATTTATTTTTCATATTATTTAAAATTGATAGACGAGTTCCAAATTAAAAAGGGTTGCCATCATAAAATTCAAGCTTGTATTATTGTGCCATGATAAAAACGGGAGTTATTATCATATCCATTTTTTTTAATTACCACTATTTAATACTCGAGTAATTTCCGATTGATAAAGTCTCTATCATTTCTATCAAATCGTAGTACATATTTTATAGCTTTCAAGACAAATTGCTCTGTTAAGAATAAAACAAATTTATGCTATTCCCAACTCAACTGTAGGAAGAAATCATTATGTTTCGTTCATTTTTAAAGTTTTTAGTTTTGTGTTGAAAATGTTTTAAATATACAAAACGACTTGTTGCGTATATATATTTTATATCAAATGGAACAAGCCACCACTTAAAGAGTTACTTTTCATGCTCTCCACAATATTCAATTTGTCATTCCGTTTGCAATACATCGAAATATTCGCCGGAAACCGCATATAGTATATATACTTAAAGTGGTGTGCAGAAGCGAGTGGATTTTGGACACATTTCACGTCAGAAAAGTAATATTAAAATAGCAAAATTATTTTTTTTGTCATTTATTATGTACTATGCAAAAAGAAAAACGAAAATAAGCACAAAGAAAAATTAAAAACACGGAAATAAATCGTATGTACACACTTCTGCACGTCACTTTTTAAAATATTTTTTGGTTTTATTGTTTTTTTTATATTAGATTTACATTATTTATATCCCGTTTACTGAAAACATTGTGGAAACCCTATATAGTTAAAAAAAAACTAATACATAACTTATAATATAAATAGTGAAAAACTTATATTGTGCCAATAAGTTATCATATAGCTACAAAAACGGTGTTCCGTTGTTCCCAAATCTCAAATAAAAAGTCATAAACGCTTCTAAGTTGTGTAGACCCTCGTCTAATGACATGTAAAATGTAAATTGATAAGTTTTAGCACCAAAATATCCTTCGTTAGTACTCGTCAACCCTGTCAGTCGGTGGACGGCGTGAAGAGCCCTTCCCGGCTTTGGTTATAGCAGCAGTAAAAAACAAAAACCTGCAAAATCAGTATAAAAAGTTTTCAATGAGCCCAAAAGTTGAACAGTGCTCAACTGAAAACGCGTGGTCGGATCCGACGAAACCGAATTCAACTGGTTTTAATTCGACTATAAACATAATTGGTGATGAAAACTAATTCAATGGGGCAATGTGAAGCACGATTAAGGAATCGCCATGGTATGGGTTGGCTTTAACTTGTGGGACCTTGGACCGATGTAAACAAATTGACAATATAATAATGAATAATGTATATAGAGATCATTGTAGAGTCATTTCAACCGGTTTTGTAGATAAGAATGCCTATCCTGTAAAAGAAGCAATTTTGAGCAACATATATTTGCGTGAGCAATTTTTTTTAACACAGTGGTCAGCACAAAGTCCCGACCACAATCCGAAGAATATTATCGGATCAATCTTAAAAAGACAGGTGTGACAGTTCCAAACAGCCACTAATAATTTAGATGAACTTTGGCAGTTGATCTCATGTGATTGGATGAATATTGAAAAATATAAAACTTCGATATAAGTACTAAAAATATTCGTATTCTTCATTTTTTTTGTTTCAAACGTGCGATGGAGTTGATTTTGTTTTCTTTGTTTTTTTCTTAGAAATTGAAGAAATGAATTTTTAATTATAGGAAGTTTAGTTAACTACAAAATACCTAATAAAATATAACAACAATTTTAAATTTGGTCTTTTCCATCCATTTTTAAGACATAAAAAGTGTTCTAAGTTCAAACATCCACTCACTTCTGCACGCCACTGTATATTTATGATCAGAATAAAATTCTTTATGGATTTATGCATGTCCGTCTGTTTGTCTGTTGATATCACGATAGAGCTCGTAATTTTTAAGATAGATCTTTGTAATTTTGCTCATACATTGCTATTACTCCTTTAATATTTGGTATTAAAAATGGGATATATCGGTCCACCTTATTGTAGAGCCATATGACGGTACCCCGAAATATTCGATACTTTAGGCATTTTTGGGTTCTTATTGGGTAACACATCTTCCTACAAAAACGATCAATATTGATAACTTTTGTAGGTAGCGTTTTTGTAGGTAGCGTTATTTCCCTACCAAAAATTATCAATATTGATAGACTTTAAAGGACAGTCCTCACATTCTCCCAAATTTCAGTATTTTGAGGAGTTTGGTCATTGGCTGTGATTTGGTATTTTAATTTCAAATTGGTTAGTAAATTTTCCTACCAAAAATTATCAATATTACTCCACTTTTTAAGTAGCATTTTTCTCTAAGTGTGCCAGAATTTTGTTAATGCGGTACTTATATTTTTTATGTATGTATAGTTTTAAAAAATGTAAAAACTTAATTCCAATAACTGCGTATTTTACGTCGTCCAATTTTAAGATATTTATTATTTCACTTTTGCATTTATTTTAATTTGAATAAAATATGAAATAAATTAAAATCACTTGTTGGCACGCGCAAGAAATATCCATAGTTATATGAACAGAAATCGATTTCAGGTGCAGAAGTGTATTTTAAATATATATATTGAAAGTTGTTGTACCTTCATAGTACACCGTGTTTTTTTCAGATTTGAGTTGTTTATTTTTATTTTGGTTTAATTCCATTTTTTTCTTATATTAAGATATTTAAATATTTGTGTTGGTTTTGTGTCATATATATTATAAAATAGTTTTAATTTTGTTAGTGGATTTGTGCCCTTAAACATGAAAGCCAAGATATGTATCAGAACCTAAAATAAATTTAAACTACTAAGTAGAAAACTTATATCTAAATACAAAAAACTTAAAAATACATTCAATTATAATTGACTCCCCAGCCATAACCACTAAAACAAAAGGGCGTAAATGAAAGCCAACACCAGCAAATTGCAGTCATTAATACAAATAAAATATGTGTAAATGAAATATAAATTAAATTGAAAAAAGAAAATAGAATGTGCAAAGAAATTGTCTGTAAATGAAATGAAAATGTATGTAAACAAAAAAAACATACAGTTCATAAAAAGCAAACCCGATATCATGAATAAGTTAGAATAGTTGACAGAATAATAAATGCGATTATCAGGACCACGTAAATATTGCAATAGCTTCAAACGAAAAGCATTATTCGATTGAGAAAATATTCTCAGTTCAATGGGCAAATAGTTCCACAATCGAGCAACACGTACAACACAGGATTTTTCAAAAGCGGAATTGTATATCCTAGGTATAAATACTTGAGGATTTCTCGTTGAGACAGAGAACCTGAACATGTTTCTTAACAAAACAGGTACACCATTCTTAATTATATTGCAAAAATTACGCAGAACTCTAGCAGAAACGAAACTTTTAAAATTTAACCCCAGAAAATCTACAACCTAATCAGATATGTGAACTCGAGATTTAATATTATAAATAAATCGAGCAATAGAATTAACAACTCGTTTTAATCTTAAAAATGTATGATCAGTTGATGATCAGATGATCAGTATTCGTATATTTTCATCGCCATTTTTCTTGTTACCCGATCTTTGCTCAGAAAACATATCTGTTAAAATAGCTTTTCATAACGGCTTCGTCCATTAAAAATGGATCTGAAAGTATGTCGTTTGTAGATTCAATGTAAAGGCTACATCATCATCATTAGTTCATTAGTTGGGTTATATAAAAAGCCAATAATTATAAAAAAATTAGGCTTTAAGCTAAAAGTGTTCAAAGGTGCCCTAGCTTTCCCCTATATATAATTTGAAATTTTATTAGCTCAAAAATCCTGCAAATAGCTCAAAGAAATATTTTCTTTAAGTTAATCGTAGCATGTAGTTGATCGTCCATAGGAAAATACAGGTTGTAACCACAAGGGACACACACACACTACCAATAATGGTCACTCTTAATTTGGGATTTCATCAATCTCTGCATAAATTATGTTTTGGGCTGCACTGGATATCTCGGATACACATTAACATTTTACGGATAAATTTTCAACACTAATGTAAGTGTGGAGTTCATTAACTGGTTTATTTCTGATTAAATGAATGCATCGTTTATTGGATTTTCTTTTCTTTAATATAAATATTTCTCGTTTTTCACATCTGGGATATATGTTTGAATAAGTGTTAGCTTTCTATTTAAGGTGTTTTTATTTAATTTAGAGATATATTGTAAAATATTTTTTATACAAGTTTTTTTATTATTTTCTCATTATTCTTCACGTTTTTTTAATGTAGATGTCTTATGGCTCATGTTTTTACAATTTATATACTAATCGGGTCACGAAAGCCCCTTGAAAATTATGTTTTTATTTATATATTTTCAAAGAAGCCAATCAGTAGATAAATTGTATCTGGTATTGTAATTTTCCAGTATTTTAATTGTTATTCGACTCATAAAAGTCCTTTCGAAATATATTCTACAAAAATAACGAATAACATAATAACATTTTCTATTTATATTTTTGATTTAAATCCCATTTGTCACCACATTCATTTATATGAAAATTCACTTTATCTTCACATCGATATTTTACACAAACAAAATCAATTTATCAATATTATCCTTTTCCGCCAGCCAATGAGCAAAAACTTACCTCATAAAATAGAATACAACTAATTAACACTTGTACGGCATTGTAGATGATCATGGTGTTCTTTAATTCGTAGGGTTTACGATCACGCATATAACGAGGACCCAAATATAAACAGAACAACAAATAAAAGGCTAAAATTCCAAATAACGGCCACGGGGAATTTGAAAGAAGCCAATTTTTCGTACGATGATCGCCATGCTCAAAGAATACACTTATCAGATAGTTGACCGTCGAATTTGCGCTTAACGTTAGCGAAGAAGACATTTTTCCCCCGATACGAACCGTTCGAACTTAAAAAATGGAATAGAAACGACATTCCCAATAAACGATTGGAGAGAGCAGTCGATCGGTCGACTGCATAGTCGCCAACTATCCAAGAAATATTTTCGGTTTGTTTCTTCTTCTTATTTGTTGTTGTTATTGTTGTGTTAATATTTATGCATAATACAAAGATGTATATCTGGGAATAGTTTAAGTCTTTTGTGCAATGTTTACCACGGGATGGGACCTAACAACATTCGTTATCGAAAGCTTGTTTAATAGTTTTATATTTACATATACATATACTTATTTTTTCGGGAGGTTTCATCTTGGAAATATGTGAACAAACAGCATTAGATCTGTGACACACTCAACTAGCCAGCCAATAAGTTTAGGTCTGTCTGTTGGTCAACATTGTTGGTATAGGTTATCACCATTATGTCCCGTGTGTTATGGTGTGGTACGACCTTGAAATCGTGTGGTGTAAAACTGGTAATTGGGTGACTAAAAATCAAATCCAATACACATACTTCAGTTTACCAATAGACAACAACAACGACGAAAAAATCATAAATTCACTTGTTGTCAAGTCTTCACTGAGATACACCGAATTGTTAAGACCCTTCAGCAAGTGATGGAAGAGAAAGCCATACAGCTTCAGTTGTTTGAAAGATTAATTTAAAATAGGTGCACAGTGGGTTGGCTCGTTAATACCAACGATTGATGAAAATTTAAATAATTGGTAAATGATTTAAAGACCGCCAAGTCTATTGTTTTTAAATAAGAATAATTTTCATAATATCTCCTAAAACAGTCTCAATAATGTTATCTATGGACTTCAATAGAGAGTCTGGGACTTCTAATAGAATAAAAATATTTAATACCGAAGAAATTACCTTTAGTACGCAAGGTATACATGATAACCATTACAACAGAGTAGATCGATAGAAAATTGTTTATAAGGTATTCTGCAAAAGACTACTTTGGAAAACATCAGACAATTTTAATAGGATATGAGATAGAGTTTTCACAGACAAACGATATTGATAAAGTTGTGTCTATGGTCAGAATTTGTATCGAAAATACCTAAACAAAAAGCTTGTTCTACAGACAGAATATAATTCAATTGTATTTTATTATAATCTTTTTTATCTCCTATATAAACAACAAGATACCTTTTAAATAATCTATTGTAAAATGTATTCCACAAATAAAATGCATTCGAACCTGTAACTTTAAACGGTATTGTGTTTACACAAGAAAAAATCTTCCTTATGGCAAAGTCTGCGAAGTAAAGTCAAGTTTTCATTATTCTGGATGAGATATAAAAATTATTCTACCTTGGTCAATTTATCACTGACACCATCAACACCGCAAACGTTAAAATTGCAGGGTACATTTCGAATTCCCAGTGCCACATATTTCATTTTTTTCTATTATTAATTTTCGGTTATGAAATTGTGTCTAAATAATACCTTTAAAACTTTTACTTGCTAATGAAACCGAAAAATAAACCTACACACACACAACTTCACACAGACTCCCAGTCTTTATATGCTACAGAAATCATCGAAAAAACTCGTTTTTAGTTCATGTCAGCGATGTGATTATTACGTCTCAACTTTTTTCTCGTCTTTCTTCATTCATATCTTTATGTGTCCGAGCGTGTTCGGGTGTAGTTCACAAGTAGACATGTAACTAAACGTACATAAACATTTTTATTATTGATTTTCAATAACACCTGCCGTACTTAGTGGTCAACAAGTGGAATGGGGTTAAGGCCTCGCCAAACCAAAGTTCCACCCTTCATGGTGGAAAAAGACAATTTCAAAATATCTTACAGTAAACCTTAATGTTTGCATGGGGTGCACACAAAAACGTGAATATGCATTCATCAGTTTTATAAAACGCAGACTAGATGACGTTTTCAAGACGGTATTTACAACCGGACGAAAGAAGGTATATATAAGCGAGTTGAGTCGTTTTAGATGATCTGAGATCAGATTTTATTGTCGAACTGAAAGCTTTCTTTATAGATGAGCTTTATGGACAATATAGGAGCTAAGTTGGTATTAATAAATGAGCATAACGCTGTCTTCATAGATAATCCAAACTCTGCATTTTTTAATGTGAACGGCAAGATGTACCCAGGATGTACAATCCATATCAAAACAACGTATTTATATTCGAACAGAGCGCCATATTTTCCTTTATAAATTAACTAAGGAATATGTTTATAGTCGACTCTGCCCTTTATAAATTTATAGTCAGACTTTGTTATAATGGAGTTAGTGAAGAAGAATTACTTTCGGGCAAGATCAAATCCATCTTTACATTTATCTTATTGTAAATGAGATAAATGTTGTGATAATGGACGAGATTTTTCTCATATAATCTATACCTAGCATAACTATAAATTAAAAACGATAAATTCCCTTCTTCCTGAACACCGAAGTTTTTAAAGACTTTTATGGTATTTCATATACATAGAATGAATTGTTCTTTATACAAATTATTTTTTTATTTTTTAATTTTATTGTTGTTTTTTATAATATTTTTATAATAAATACACATAGTAAAATTTTCGCCATATTCATCTAAATACATCCAATGCAATAAAATACATCATATTGAAGATTTCATTAAATATAAATATTCTTTTCACACAAATATACGTACACTTTACACACACACAGATTTTGGTTTCTTTTAATTCTCATGTAAATGTTGTTCCTTTTTTTTTTTTGTTTCATAAACTAAGTTTGGTTTTTCATGTTGTAATACATGTTTATACATTGATATCAGAAAATATTATTTATTCCTGTTAATATGTAGTTTTTTTTCTATCTTAGTATAGCGTATGTTAAACATAATACAAAAAATCTCAAAAATTCTAATGAAATATCATCTATTCCTTACACGACTGTATTTGATGATGATGCGGATGATGTGCATGATGATTGTGTGGCGCTGGCATTGTATGCGGAGTTTGAGTCATTGCTGAGGGATTAGATCGTGTAACTGGTGTACGCAATACAAGTTCGGAATCTTCAGATATAATGGGTAAAAGATTGGTCCAATGATAATTGATTAAATGACTTATACTTTCAAAAATTCGATCTTTAGTACGAACAATGCCCTCGGGGTCAATGAGAAGTAGGTGTTTAGGAGTTTTACCCTGTAAACCGGTTAGAACATACTGACCGGGTTTGCCTTGTGATTCACGTACCAGGAAATCGCCGTCGTTGTCCAACATACCCTCGGCAATAGGCCGACTTATAGAACCATGGAACCAAGACTCAGTCATGAGTTGTGAACGTTGTACTTCAGCGGACAATGAAAGAGGAGCTACAAAAGAAAACAAACGCTGCTGTTGTTACTGTCATTCCAAACAGAAATAAAGTTCTACACTTACGTATATCAAAAACATCGGGTGGCTGTGGCTGTGTTACGCCACCCGGCTCCTTCATGGGATCAAATGGGCAAAGATTCATTTTGTTTGTTGTCTGATCGGGCGGTGGACTATTCAAGTCAATCAAGTTACTGCTAAGACGATCGCGGGGTTTCTTCAAATTCAATTGGGCCACTTTTTGTGTTGATTGCGACTGTTGCTGTTCCTGTATGTCAATGTCATTCATTAAATCTGGTGGCAATTTATTTGGTAAATCATTATAATATTCTTTATCGTTTCCTTTTATAGATGTTTCATTGAATTGTTCGCTGACTTGTTGGTGATGTCTGAAAAACAAAGAGGAGGAGAATCTGCATGTAAAATTAATCATGAATCATCCAACTAATAATGACTTACCCTTTGCGACTGAGTGCATTGTAACGCAACATGAAGGCTTTGCCAATTGTCACAATAAGATCTTCACTTTGTCCCCCGATACATTCCAAAACATAACAAGCACGCCATTCATCTTCGTTTTTGGCAATGTAAGCCAAAAAGTCAAGGGTATCCTAAAAAAAGAAAAAAAGGTGTTAACTACGGCAGAGTTTAACTTTTTATACACTTATACAAAGTAACAGTCGATTTTATATGTAAAATACTCTAAATGTCAAAACATGGATGTGTTAAGCCCATACGGGAAGATTGTCATTGCCCATATCAGAAGATTGGCAAAATCAAATTTTAAATCTTAAATAAATCGAAAACAACTAAATTTTTACAATTTTCCCTTGATACTTTTTTGTAGAACTTTAGGAGTACTATCAGTGGTAAAAAATTGAGATCCTCTAGTTTTTAACTTTTGAGATAAAAGCCACAAAAGACCGGTCACTCACGCGACTTCAAATATACATGACTTTTGACATCACTACTAATAATGGGAAAACTTTGCGAATTGTGTGAATATTTTAGACTTTTAATATTCTTTACATGAACAAGAGATATCAAGCATTATTATTGGACTTTCAAAATTTCAAAATATGGCATATCCTTTATTTGCGAAGGATTTTTCTCGGTCACTCTCGCGACGTAACTCACGCGACATTGTTGATTTTGCAGTTTTTATTTCTGCAGTGTCTGCATTTTTAGTTATTTGGCACGATTATCAGGAGAATATTTATTGACAAGTTATCTGCTTAAAAGGAACTGCCTGTAGTAGGTAATGAATATTTGTAGAGGAGTAGATGAACGGGGTCTACACAGAGACAAAATTGACATTGTATAGATACGAGTGTTTTTATATACAAGCTGATGATATTATTTAAAAAAAAGCTGGTGGCATTGTGTATAGTTGATTTTAATAAAGCTTTATAAATAGACTAATACGAGGTTGTCTTTGTAGACGAAATTATCGAGGATTATGGGGTCGCTATTCAACTTAAGACTATGTGAAGGCCCGGCCGCGGACCATTTTGATTTGTTTTAATATAGGCCCTGGTTACATTCTTGCGTAAAATCCATATTTGGGGCACCCATATATTTTCCCATGATTTTTAAGAATTCTCTAACAGAATAAAGTGGTAGAAGTCCTGATTGCAAAAATGAATTTATCATATCGTTCTGATACATGGGTCTCCAAATTCGGTAACAATTTATCAAATAAAAGTCTTTAGTTGTAACCAGGGTGGCAACAATCTGTAACGATAAAGGCCCTAAACACTAGTCTTGTTCACAATCTTGGCTTTCTATAACAGTCTTTGCAAAGAGTATACAACTGCAATACATACGGAATCTCCGCCAGAAGCAAACGATATTCTTGGCATTTGATGTGAAGCAATAATTTCACCGGTGTCGACATTAATCAAATTCAGCGAACGGCTCGATACATTAATGACAACATTTGTACCAGCATTAACCATGCATGGACGATCGGCTATATACTGGCCAATTTTCTTATCCACACGTCGTTTTCCAGACTTTAAACCAGCGGCTTCACATACACGATTTATGCATTCCCTGGGGGTAAAAAAGACTTGTTAGTTATTCTCATTTCCAATTTGTACAACAATTTACTTACCTGGCCACCTGTGTACGGGTATGGAAGTCAAGCGTTTTCATCGATGTATTCACTTCGATACAACCAGTGTACTGCACACACAACAGCAACATATGCAAAAGGAAAAAAAATAAAACGAAAACAATAGAACAAATGAAGCCATACTTTATCATAAATTCAAGAGCAAATCATCAAAACCGCATATATGCATTCGGCCTCTGTGATTTGTTGTTGGCTTTTGTTTTTGGTATGACAAACTTACCCTCACATTAAAAGCCACCCCTTTCTCCATTATAACTTCATCCGGATATATGCAACCATCATCACCACCTGAAGCCCCACCCATACCGGTCGATGCAATTCCTGCACCGCCACTATTTCCACAGGCACCATTAGAACGCATCATTGTGGATGGATGGTTGGTAGGTTATCGTGATCGTTTCAATTGATTTCAATTATTTTTCTAGATGTGATGTCTAATATCGCGGCTGCTGCTGTATGTTTGTCTGTCCGTCGGCCTGTCAGCCAGTATCAATGTTCTTCACCCTGTGTCGATGTATGTGTTTTTGTGTGAATGTGTTATTCCGTTGTTATTGCTGTATATTTAATTAATTTCTTATACTAATTGTTTTTGTTTACTTCCTGCGCTTCGAATATCATTTATAGGTTGTGTGTATGTTGTTGTTGCCCGTTCGTTCGTTTGCTCGTTCAGTGTTATGATGGAATGTTATGAATTTTCTGTTAAATTCTCTGCTGAATCCACTCGATAGCGATAGTTGGTCGGTGGTGTGCAGTGGGCTTGAGGTTTATGCTACGGCCCGTTTTCGTAATTACTATAGCTTTTGTTTTTGTACTTGGCTTCCGTTTGTTGGCGACCAGTCTCTGACTAATCCTCTCTCAAATTCCATTTAAAACCGAGTCAATGTTTTTAATCTTAGTTTTTTCATATATTAATTTTGTAACTTTTCAATGTTATCAGTAATGCCCATTATAAACGAATAGAGGCATTTCATATGAGAAATTATTTTACAAATTCATTGTTTTTATTCAATAATTTTAATAAAATATACACAAAAAATACATTTCCTCCTAATGCTATGTTCTAGAGTTGTGTCCAAGGTGGATTTTATAAGGTAGATGCATTAGCAATCGATTACAACACAAACTATTGTAGACATTTGATATGTCAAAAATATATTCAAAAAAATTAACTATTTACGAAAAAATGGTTAAACCAATTTTATTCAGATTATATTGAGAAATTTATTATTGTATATATTCACTTAGAATTCAAAGATTTTCATTAAAAGCTATGTCTTTAATTCTTTTTGTTTCAAATTAAAACAACTTTTTTGACAGCTTATTGCACCAACTGCTGTTCTGGTGCATCTACCTTTATTTGTGTTGTTCCGCAACGAACTAGTTCAAATGACGACTCTGTGATGTGAACGATCGGAATTATATCTAGTTCTTAGTTCACCTAGTTTATTTCGCTTAGTCGAGTTCATAAACGACACTATTGAATAGACAATAGCGGTGTCTGCTATTTGATAACAATTGTTACCAAATGTTGTCTGTTTACGCAAAAGTCTAGTAAAAGAGAGTAAAGTGAGAGAGCAAGTTTGACAGTTCAACAACAAAAACGTACCGGAGTTTACTGAAGGAATTGTATGCAGTATAATGTTGTTAACTCAGTAATTTTTAAATCAGTTATTTTAGAATAAAAACGGCTTACTCTCTGAAATAGAACTTACAGTACGTTTACATTTAACCGGATTTTGTTAACCCAGTGGGTTTCAATTGTCATTTCCTTTGCATATATGTCAAATAAATCCTCATAAAGTAGGTTAACCCGGTAAAAAGTTCTAATGTACAAGGAGTTTTACTGAGAAAAATTTATTGGAATATTAACCAGACACACCTATTTTGTAGCAATTGTTACAAAATTTTACTAGATGTAATATGTTTACTTCAAAATTATGTAAAAGAGAGCGAAAAGAGAGAGTTAATTTGATAGTTCAACGCTGAGAACTTATTGAATATTTCTGGTTAAATTTTCGAAGACAATTCGATGTAGTATATTTCAATCAGCCGTTTATTTTAAATTTTGGTCAGAGTCAGAAAACATTTTTTATTTTATTAATTTTATTCATTAATAAGTTTAAAAAAGAAAAAATCAAGCATTTTATGTTTATTTTTTCAGTATTATTAATTGCAAAAGATAATAAACCGGCTAATTCTCCGAAATATAACTTAGTGAGCAAATGTTGGTAGAAAAATAACCAGACACAGTTACTAGCAGCCATTGTGTAAAAGCAATAGGGCTGCTAAGACAACAACAACTAGCAGCCCATAATTATGTTTTATGATTTAAAAATAAAACACATTAAAATAATTTTGTTAAATATTCAATTTCAATGTTATTTATTATTAAATCCGGTTGAAGACTGTTTATTCAACCGACAATTAATTATGTGATATTGTAAACTTAAGTGTTAATGAGAACTGAACTCTTCAATTAGAAATCAACGTCTTAGTCCTGATTTATATATTAGGCGAGTTTACTTGCGGCAATTTTTATCGTTCTCTTTTGAACTTGCTCCATGGCAATTCGGTTTCCAAAAAATTTTTTTATTTGTTGTTTTTTCACATTTAAATATATATAAAATGTCAACAAATACGAAATACACAAAACGAATTGCCAGAAAATTGTAGGTACGAGCAATTTTTTTCCATTTCTATTCCCCTTGCCCCTCTCTCCTACAAACAAAGACTTGCCGCAAGTAAACTCGCCTAATCTAAATCAAGACTTATAATCTAATTTTAAAATGTTAGTATAACAATTATAACAGATTAACTTTAGCTCTGTCTGTTAACTCGATATTAGGTAATAATTGTTACTAAATGTTGTCTGTTTACACAAAAATCCAGTAAAAGAGAGTCAAGTGGGAGAGCAAGTTTGACAGTTGAACAACAACAAAGTTGCTGGAGTTTACTGAAAGAATTTTATTCAGTAAGATTTTGCAACTCATTTTCTGATAAGCTGTTTTCAAACACCAACCAAAGACCAAACACAAAATTTATTTAAAACATTTTTTTTTTTAATTTGCAAAGTTCAATTTGAAGTTAATTACAGAAAATCAAAGAAAATTCGTAAGTAATGCAAAGTTTCATTAAATTAGAAACTAATTCCTTATATATTTTAGGCAAGTTCTAGATAGAGGGCAATGTATTGATGCAGGGAGCCTTAATGTTCCCGGGGAACATACCAGATAAATTTTTCTTTTATTATTCATTTTATTTTTAATATTAAATGCAATACAAATAATTGTGTTCGTCCTTTGTTTGATGTTTATTTTGGCGCAAATCAAATGTTTTCTTGAATCAGCTGTTTATTTGCTAAATCTTACTAAATGTTGTCTGTTTACATTTTTCAGTATTATCGCAAAAGAGAGTAAGAAAGGCTTACTCTCTGAACTAGAACTTACTGAATAAATGTTACTGGAAAAGTAACCAGACACACTTATTAAGAGAGCTTTTGTATCATACGAGACTACTACAAAGAGAGTGATAATTAATAATTGAAAATAAGAGTGAGTTTATGAATTTGGTAATCACATAAAAACTAAGATAGATTGGAGTTTTAGAAATAAGTGTATAACTCCATGGTATAATAATAGAAGGTAAAAGAAAGTGTTACCTTCTATTATCTGGAACTTGCCTAAAAATATATAAGGAATTAGTTTCTAATTTAATGAAACTTTGCACTACTTACGAATTTTCTTCCATTTTCTGTAATTTTTTACAACTTAACTTCAAATTGAACTTTGCAAATTAAAAAAATGTTTTGAATAATTTTAGTGTTTGGTCATAAAACAGCTGATCTCAAAATGGCTGAGCTTGCAAAATCTTACTGAATAAAATTCTTTCAGTAAACTCCAGTGAGTTTGTTGTTGTTGAACTGTCAAACTTGATCTCTCACTTGACTCTCTTTTACTTCTTGCGAGTTATTCAATGAAGAAAGATTTGCTTCCTCAAACTTTCCCAGCACATTTAATAAAGAACAATTTCAAATTGTATGCGTTCCCAATTTTCCTGTTGCGTGATTTTTAAAAACATAATTTGTCAAATTCACATTGACACTAGTATTAAATTTGTGATGTGTAGATTCTCTCGGAACCCTCAGTCATTTGTAGTTAGAGTCGTAAGATTGTGGAATCAGCTCCCTTTGAGCCTTCGTAAGTTTACCTTTTCCATTTTTGCGTATAGGAGGGAATTGTTTGTGCATTTGTCTCGTATTTAATGAAGTTGGCTTTGAAGAAATCACTGATTACAGGTTGCATAGTGTTACTTTTCCTTTTTTTTAATTCTTGGCTGGGGAGCCATCTTTATTTAAGTTCTATAGCATTTATATTATAGATTTATACATACGCGCTCATACATATGAAATTTAATGTGTGTGGGATATATAGTTTATTTTTATGTAGGATTCCTTATGCTTTCTTTCCCCTCCACTTTTCTTAGTGAAAGTTAAGTAAAGTGCAGTGGATAGGGGTTCTTTTTTTGTAATCTGTTATATTAGTTGTTTGCATTAAATTTAATTTTGTAGAGTTTTTACTGTTATGAATTTTTAATTTATTTAGTTTATTTTTTGTTTGCATTTTTTATATAAGTTATTGGCCATGCTGGTTTTTTTTTATATTACATTGAATGAAATAAATGAAATTAATCAAATCAGCTGGGATTTGCTGTTACCTTTTATAATTGTACCATGCTAGCAGCCACAACAAGCATTTTTACCTATACGTTTGTTAGTGTGTTTCCCAACAAATGGTACTATATTTGCAATTCCCTTTTGTTCAAAACAACAAATTGAATCTAGAATGATGTGTGTAATGTTTTGTCGAAATCGGTTCAGGTTATAATTTTAATTTCGTTCGGTTTAAGGTAATCTATAAGCCAAACTCACAAGGTATGTCCGATTGAGGCAAAATTTTGCACAGCGCACCAAATTTAGTTTAAAATGACGTTAAGATTTACATATAGCTCCCATATATATTTTTGTCCGATTTTATCTAAATGGTCCTCCATAAAACCAAGATAGCAATGACGGTTTTCCGCTGAGTGTATTAAATTGCGTTTAAACCGATTCATATTTAGATACAGCTATTGTATATTTTCGTTTGATTCCCTGTATTTAACGCACCTAATATCCAATATTTGTTCGATTGAGTCAACATTTTGCACAATTTTTGAATGATGAATGAAATTTTGGAATGACTTGAGTTACATATGCTTTCAATCGGTTCAGATTCATATATAGCTCCCATAAATATAAATAAGGAAATAAAAAATTGATGTTATTGGTAATTTGTTGTAAAATATTTACAGAATCGCACCACAAATG